CCATCCGCATCCCGAGCACACATGCTGCATCGCTCCGCCGCTCTTTCCCTACGCTCGCTCTCGCTCGCAACACTCACCGCCCATGTCGGCCGTCCGCACCTTGCCCTCCTGGATCACCTTGTACACGCTCTCCGCGATCTGGTTGGCGTGCGAGTCGAGGCCGAGGTGACGCAGCATCATGGTGCTGTGGCAGCGATCCGAGTCAGCCCATGCGCCCCAGGCATGCGCACGCCGTCCTCTCTTCATGTGCCCGTCTGTTACTCACGACGAGAGCAGCATGGCAGCCGGGTTTGCCGTGCCTTTGCCCATGATGTCCTTGGCCACGTGACGGCAGCCAGGCTCGTACAGGGCGTACTCGCGGCCAATGTTGCAGCCGGGCACGGTGCCGGGCCCACCCACAAGCGCAGCGCCAATGTTCGACACGATGTTGCCGTACAGGTTCGGCATGACCATGACGTCGAACTGCTGGGGGCGCGAGACTAGTTGCATCGAGCTTGGTGCGGGCAAAAAAGGAAGAAGCAAGTCAAAGTGCGGAGGGAGGAGGTGGGGTCGCGGTCAGCTTCTGCCGCACTTCACAGCTGCCCTCTCTCCGCCGCACTGCGCCTGGCCTGCCCTGTCCCACTCACGTGTTGTCGACAATCATGTCGCCGTACGCAATGCCACTGCTCTCGTACTCCTTTGCCACCTCGCGGAACGTGTTGAGGAAGAGGCCGTCGCCCAGCTTCATGATGTTGGCCTTGTGCACGCACGTGACGCGCTTGCGTCCGTTCTTGAGCGCAAAGTCAAAGGCGAAGCGCGAGATGCGCTCGGCAGAGGCGCGCGTCGAGACCTTGAGCGACTCGACGACGCCGGGGTAGGACTGGGCGTAGCGGAGAGAGGGAGAGAGAGGTCAGCGTTGGCTCTCAAAAGCTGCTTGCGCGCAGCACGGCAGCTCCATGCGCCGCCGTCGCTGGCCTTGGTCTCTCCGCGCCGCCGGCCGCAGTAGACTCTGCTCCGGCGCAAGTCTACTTTCGCACAGACTCACCTGGTGCTCGAGGCCCGAGTACTCGCCCTCGGTGTTCTCGCGGATGATGGCAAAGTCGACGTCCTTGTGGCGCGTGGGGTAGCCGGGCAGGCTCTTGCAGATCACCAGCGACGCGTAGATGTCGAGCTGCTGGCGCATGGCGACGTTCCACGAGTTGTGCGCGGCCGTGTCGATGGGGGTGAAGAGGATGCCTGGCAAGACCACACCGAGCCGCCCTTGCATCAGCTACACTGCAGAAGAAGCACTGGACGCTGTGTGTGTGCAGACGCACCCTTCAGTCCGACCTTGTTCCGCCGCAGACTCTCCATGGCCTCCTTGAAGAGCGACTCGCTGCCGTGCGTCTCGCCCGAGACGTTGAACTGCTCCCACTCGACGGGCACGTTGAGCACCTCAAACACCTCCTTGACGGCGCCCGCAATCTCGGCGCCAATGCCGTCGCCGGGAATGAGCGTCACCTGCGGGAGCAAGAGTGAGCAGGGGACGGGGGAGCAGAGAGAGAGAGGCACGCACCGTGTAGACGCCTGAGCGCCAAGGAGAGGGTGCGCAAGAGTCAGCCAGCCGCGCCTGCCTCTTTCGTCGACACGAGTCTCACCGCCGTACTGCGGCACACCAGACGAACATCAGCAACTCGTTTCACTTGCGCCTCTCTCTCTCTCTCTCCGCTCACCTTGGTCGGGCCCTTGTGCGTGGGGATGCGCGGCGTGCCGCTGGTCAGCGTCGACGCGGCGCGCGCGACGGCGGGCAGCGCCAGCGCCGAGGGACGCGCGGCGGCCGTGGCGCGGAGGGCGGGGGCGAGGGAGCGGAGCGACATGGTGAAGGCGAGGGGATGGATGGTGGGAGGAGGTGAGAAGCACCGACCGACGACGACGAGCAAGGCCAGCGCGCGCGCCGCAGGCGCCAGCACGATCTCTCGCGGGCGCCGCCGCGGCGCCGCCTGAGGCGCTGCTGCGCCTTTGCTCGAGGCACAGGCACGGCGGCAGCGACGGCACGCGCCCTGGCGGCGCCCTCGGCGCCCCTTCGCCGCCTCTCGGCCGGTCTCGCGCTCTCGCAGACGCAGGCCCTGCCGCCGTCTTGTCTCTCTCGCCGCAAGTCAACTCATCGCCCTCTGCCCCACAGCAGCAGCCGTTATTCCCTCGGCGCCCGCTCCGTGTCTCTGTGCCCGCTTCTGACACGCGCTGCCGATGTCTGGAGGTGCATGTGCTGCGCAGACGCAGCAGCAGCAGGCGCTTTCTTCCTGCGCGCCTGCGCACGAGAGCCAGCGCCTCGCTCGGCACGGTCCGGGTTCGGCGCGGCGGGCGCACCTCTCCTTTTGCCGCGCGTGGCTTGCCGCCTGCTGTGCTTTCTTCCTGCCGTCTCGGCCCTGGCTGCTGGCCCCCCTGCCCGCTGAGCTGCCCGCTGCCCATCGAGGTGTGCTGCTGCTGCACTCTGCTGCATGCAGCGGCCGCAGCTCCGCCAGCAGAGGCCGCATGCCGCATGCCGCAGGCCGGGGTGCGGTCCGGCCACGCCGCGCCCGGGGAAAGCACGGCGAGCTGCCAGCGCGCGCCGCGAGATGTTCGCAGTGCTGCAGCACAAGCGCGCCTTCTTGCGCGCTTCCCGGCGCCGCCCGCTCGACGTGTGGCTGTCTTGCACCCGTGCCGCGCTCTCTCGCTGGCACCTCGTCCGCCCCGCAGCGCGAGCGGCAGAGCAGCGTGCAGCATGCCTTTGCGTTTTGACGCCTGCCCTGCAATGCTCTCTCTCTCTCTCTCTCTCTCCGCTGCTGCAGACATGAGACGATGCGGGGATCGCGGCCGGCGGCTCGGCGGGGGCATGCCGCACCGGGTGCCGGCGCGAGCTCGATCTTCGCCCGCACGAGAGATGCTGCACCTGGTGCTGATGCTGGGTGCTGCGAGACGAGGCTCGGCCGGCGCGCGAAGGCGCAGAGGAGAGGAGCCGCCGCGCTGCTGCGCCCGTGCCTGCCGCGCGCGAAGGATCTGCCTCTGCCGGCGTGCCTCTTGCGCTGCCTTGCACGCTGCGCCGCGCCGCGCTGGGCTGCGAGCTCGGGCGTCGTCGGCGCCGCGCCGCCGCGCACCGCCGCCAGAGCATCAGGCCGCGCCGCTCCCGCTTCCTTCTCGCCCCTCACCCTCCCTCCTGCTCATCATGCTCGTCCCCGCTCTCCGGTCCTCTGCGCCGCGCATGGCGCTGCGCGTGCCCGCCATGCGCGTGCGCAGCATGGCCTCCATGCCCCTCACCTCGGCGCCCACGTCGGCCTTCGCAAAGGAGCCCGTGAACGGCAAGTACACCGTCTCCTTCATCCGCGGCGACGGCATCGGCATCGAGATCAGCGAGGCCGTCGACGAGATCTACAAGGCGGCAAAGGTGCCCATCGTGTGGGAGAACGTCAGTGTGGCGCCCTTCATCAACAAGCAGGGCAAGCAGGTCATTCCCGACGAGGCCATCGAGAGCATCAAGAAGAACACCGTCGCGCTCAAGGGTGAGTGTGCGATGGCGGCGAGCAGCGGCAAGTGCTGTGCCGCGCAGGCATGTGGCGCACAGGCGTCGCTGCGTCTGCGCCTGGCAGCCGCATGCCGCGCATCTTCTCTCCGCTCGCTGCATCCGCTTACTCCCCTCGGCAGGCCCGCTCGCCACGCCCATCGGCAAGGGCCACGTCTCGCTCAACCTGACGCTGCGCCGCACCTTCTCCCTCTTCGCCAACGTGCGCCCCTGCAAGTCGCTCGAGGGCTACAAGACGCCCTACGACAACGTCGACACGGTGCTCATTCGCGAGAACACCGAGGGCGAGTACTCGGGCATCGAGCACGAGGTCATCGACGGCGTCGTGCAGAGCATCAAGCTCATCACCCTCGAGGCCTCCGAGCGCGTCGCGCGCTACGCCTTCCACCACGCCGAGCAGAACGGCCGGAATCGCGTCACGGCCGTGCACAAGGCCAACATCATGTGCGTGAAGAGGAGTGCAGCGCTGCGAGAAAAGGGCGCTGCTGCGTGTGCTGCGTGACGTGTCTCTTGCGCACTTGCTTCGAAGGCCTCCCGTGCCCTGCGCAGCAGGCGTGCCCGCATTTTCTTCTCCTCTGCGCACCTTGCTGACCCCTATCTCCCGCGCCCCGCAGGAAGATGTCGGACGGCATGTTCCTGCACGCCTGTCGCCAGGTGGCCAAGGAGTACCCGCACATCACCTACGACGAGGACCTGCTGGACCGCGCGTGCCTGCGCATCGTGCAGGACCCCAGCCCGTACGCCGACCGCGTCATGGTCATGCCCAACCTGTACGGTGAGTGGACGACGGCAGCGCGGAGGGAGGCGGCGAGACGCACAGATGAGCCGGCAATGTGTGCTTGCCGGCCCGACGGCTACTAGGAGACGCTGCTCGCATCGCAACTGACGCCTCTCGTCCTTGACCAGGTGACATTCTCTCCGACATGTGTGCCGGTCTGATTGGCGGTCTCGGCCTGACGCCCTCGGGCAACATCGGCAAGGATGCGTCCATCTTCGAGGCGGTGCACGGCTCGGGTCCGGACATTGCCGGGCAGAACAAGGCCAACCCCACGGCGCTGCTGCTCTCGAGCATCATGATGCTGCGCCACATGCGTCTCTTTGAGCACGCCGACAAGATCGAGAAGGCCATCTTCAAGACGATTGCCAGCGGCGACCGGACGGGCGACCTGGGCGGAAAGCTCGGAACCAAGGAGTTCACGGCTGCCGGTGAGTGGCTGGCAAAGTGCAGCGTGCAAGGACTGCGCGGCTGACCTGCGCCGATCCGCCGCAGTGATCAAGAACCTTTGAAGCGAGAGCAGAAAGCGACGTCGTCGGCCTGCAGACGGCCACGAGGCAGTCGTGCGCGCGCTTGACGGCCGGGACGCGGGCATGGAGAAGCCGCAGGTGATGGGGGATGCAAGGGGCGAGACATAGAATTGACCATCCGCTTGGCCCCGATCTGAGCTGCGAGCAGCCGGCGCGTCTGACACGGCAGGGCGCAAAGGAGCCGGCGCAGGAGTGATAGAGCGGCGAAGGAGGGGGCAATCGTGGTATTTGAGC